GCTTCTGCTGCTAGTCCATCCACATAATCTCTCTTATCCTTCCTAATATTCCTCTTCACTACTTTATGGGCTTCAGCATACTCTTCTTGCGCTTTAGCCTTTGCTGCTCTAGTCCTGCTGTTATTAACTACTGCCTTCTTCTTCTTTCTATCTTCTATCTTAGTCAAGGTCTCTGCTGTGATCCACTCTTTCTACTGGTATTTCTTGATTCCAAGCACTTCCTGGCATGCTGACCTAAGTGTGTCTCTCACTTTCTGCCATCTGTTGGATACACTGTCTTCCTCTTCCTCAGACCGATCCTGTAGTACTGAAAACTTATTCTTCAGCGTCAGTCCAAAATCTTCCTTGATCTTATGATCCTTCAAAAGGCTGACATTGTACTTCGCTCTTCTATCTGACGCATCTATCCAGTTCTTCTTCAGCTTCAGCTTCAATCTGGCCACCACTAAGTGATGGTCAGACGCTACGTCTGCTCCTCTTCTAACTCTAACGTCCTGCAAAGATCTTCTGAACTTCTTACTAATACAGACATGATCAATCTGGTTTTCTATCGTGCCTGCTGGCGATACCCAGGTACTCTTGTGGATCCGCTTGTGAGGAAAGATGCTACCTCCTATGATCAGATTGTTAAATGCACACAAATCCACAAATCTCTCTCCATTCTCACTCATCTCTCCCAGAGCATGGGTCCCCATGACTTGTTCATATCCTGTGTTGTCAGGTCCAATTTTGGCATTAAAGTCTCCCATAAGGATGGTAATGTCTTTGTCTGGGAGAGTCTCTAATATTTTCTGAAGTCTGTTGTAAAAATAGTCTTTATCCCCCTCTTCACTGTCATTGGTTGGAGCATAGCACTGTACAACATTCATCTTAATCCTCTTCATTTTAGTTCTGAAGGATGCTGTGATGATCCTGGAACCATGTGCCTCCCAACCAATCAGTGCTCTCTGTGCCTGCTTGGACAACATGAAGCCTACTCCCTGTGTGTGGGGTGCGTCGCTCTCTTCATGTCCGGAATACAGCAACAGTTCTCCTGTCAACAATCGTCTCTGTCCAGCTTGCGTCCATCTTGTCTCGCTAATGCCTAGTAGGGTCAGGTTGTTGCTCCTCATCTCTGCTGCGACCTGCGCCATCTTTCTTGACTCGTACATGGTCCTCACGTTCCATGTACCGATGGTAATCCTCCTAGATGCAAAAAGGGTAATCGGCTTAGTGGCTTCCTCACGACTTTCACCACCCAGCGTCATGCGTCTTCGAGTTGAAGGCCCTTCTTTTTCAGGCTAAAAGTCTCTGTTATCTCTATTGTTGGCGTTTCTGTAGCAAATTCTTTTTTGTTTTTTTACGGGGTGGAGTTGCTAGTCCCACGCCCAACCCTCCTCCTTTATCCTGACTTGGGACAGGAGGTGGCCCCAAAGGACCTCTCTGGTGGAGTTGAGTTTCAGACAAGTTATTCTCAAACCTAAACCAAAACCTAGGATTCAAAATATCAGAAAATTGGACAATTTTAAATCCAGATCAACTTTGTAGTTCAAGCCCATCTCTAACTGTACTGGATAAAACAGCAAAATGTGGATTTAAAAACAAGTTTTACTGAAAGTATAAGTATAGGATTTTTCAGTGTAAATGTCATTTAATTTTAGTTAATATCTGATTACACCAGTAAATTGGCAACACAGGAAAGTACTAGGAAATATTTTTTAAAAGAATTAAGATTGTTTTTAGCTCCCTTTGAATTGTGTTGAATTTCTTAGTTTTTTTCACTTCATCTCTAACAGTTTTGTTTAAAATAAAAATTTTATGAAATGGTATATAATATTAGGTCTTGTCATGTGTTTAGTTATGGAATTGACTTAAAGTGAATGTAGAATTCTGATTCCAAAATCGAAATTTGAAGATTGCACCTCTGCTAGTTAATACTGTCTCTGAATTTCACTAGAGCAGCAGTTTGTAGAATTGTTGGCTTTTGTTTTTTTAGAGATTTTCAAAGAGCATAAGTGGAGTTGGGATACAAAGAGCCCCTTTTTGTAAATCCACTGAGAAAATCCCCCATGTTCAATAAAATCAAAATATGTTTTCCTCTTTAGAAATAATGTAAAGAAGTTTAAGAGATGCTTATTTACAGGTAGGATAATTAATAGCTGAAATAGAATGTCAACAACAGGAGTTCCAACTATGAAACATAGTTCCAACTGTGTTTAAAAAGAGAGCATAAAGAAACCTGCAGGGTACCATAGCAAATGACTTATTTGATAGGTTTGCTGCATCTCTTCCAAGAAAATTTTTACTACTCTGTTTTACTTTTATAGTCCATTTCTAGTCAATTTCACTTGCAGGTTCTCATGCAGCAGGACAATAAATATTGCAAAGTTTGCATTGAAAATAGTGGAAGAGAGATTTATTTATTATAAAAACTTTCCTCGTTGGCATTTTTTGTACATGGAAAAGTTATATAGTGCCTTTATAAAAGCTAGGTTTTATAAAAGCTAATTTGTATAATATTTTTCTTTGTGCTTACTTTAGCTGAAGAAAAAGAGCAAAGGTCAAATTTTCACAAGAGAATACAGCGTTTTCTTCTTTGTAACATGCTGTATCAACTCTGCCTCACGAAGTGGCAGCTCACTGCAGACAGTACACTCCTAGAAATTTGAAGCTGCTGAAAAAGCCAACAACATAAAAATAACATAGACCACAGTTTGATAAAATCTCAGGTCCCAATCGTGCAATTGGATCAACTAAGATGGTACCTGTGTCCATGCAGGACCTGGTTGAAGTAAGGAACCTTGATGAGTCCAGTGCTATTTCTCATGCAGATTAGAAGGACCAGCAGTGGAGAGAGTGAGGAAGAAATCAGATATCTATCATTGTTACTCTGTCCATTACCAGTCCTTCTAACTGACTGAAAAAAATCTAGATGGCACTGGGCTCATTAGAAATTCTTGCTCACTCAGCTTCATTTTTATTTTAACTGGCATGAAGCAATAAAGCCTGTGTGAGCTATTACTGTCTCATGTCTTGGTACACAGGTTTTTTTTCCCATCCCAAACTGCCAGGGGTTGGTTTTCATCTAAACTTTTCAAAAAGACTACTTTTCATTCTCTTCTATAACATGAATGCTAGGAGTATTTTAGATTTTTTTTTTTAATCTTAGTTGATGAACTCTAACATCCAGATCACTTGTAAGTGGGGTGACTTATTACAGGACTGTTACTTTTAAATAGGCAGGAAATACATCACAGGATTATTTCCTAGCTAAATGTTATTAGATATTTATTTCACCTCTTACACATTCCTCCAAGGTTGGTGTAAACAGATAAATTCATGTCTAGTAATTACTTCTTGGAAACTTTCTATTAAATGTCAATATTTGACACTAAACTAATCTTTAGAAACTACCTTTGAAGTTGTGCTACTTTGAATAATACTCTGGGCTTTTAATATATTGGCCCAAAGGCCTTAGCTTTATAAATATGTCTATACCTGATTTACCTGAAATTTTATTTTGTCTACACAGTGCAACATCTGGCTTTCCTTCGAAAATTCATAAATGGTCACTTGTGGTTGAGGCCACCACATAATGCTGTAGCATAGCGCAAAGAAGGAAATCTAAGAAAGTGCTTTCATTAAGCTTGCACAGCTCCAGCTTTCATTTACAGTATGAGCCTTTAATAGAGGCTGCACAATGTAGACCCTTTTCAAGTTCTGCCAAAAAGAACTGGGAGGGTAGAAATTTAGACAGGAATCACATTAACCCCAGAATTCAGGTACTTTAATGACCCAAACTATCCACTTGGTCTTGAACAGGACTGGTATTTTACATTCTTTGCTTCCGTGTGGTGGTTACTGTTGCTATGGAAACCGCCATTCTGGTATTCAATGTTTAGCACATCTGACTCACTTTGTATCTGGAGCTTCTTGGAAAGGTATAACAACATGATGGCGTGATTTCAGGAACAAGCATGGAAAGTAAAGAGCATGGAACATGTGTAACTGCTTTGCAGCAAAAGAAGGAAAGCATCTCTCTTATTCAAAACTAAAATGATTAGGGATTTGGAACGGGTTCCATATGAGGAGAGATTAAAGAGGCTAGGACTTTTCAGCCTGGAAAAGAGGAGACTAAGGGGGATATGATAGAGGTATATAAAATCATGAGTGATGTGGTGAAAGTAGATAAGGAAAAGTTGTTTATTATTCCCATAATACAAGAACTAGGGGCCACCAAATGAAATTAATGGGCAGCAGGTTTAAAACAAATAAAAGGACGTTCTTCTTCACACACCGCACAGTCAACTTGTGGAACTCCTTGCCTGAGGAAGTTGTGAAGGCTAGGACTATAACAGCGTTTAAAAGAGAACTGGATAAATTCATGGAGGTTAGGTCCATAAATGGCTATTAGCCAGGATGGGTAAGGAATGGTGTCCCTAGACTCCGTTTGTCAGAGGGTGGAGATGGGTGGCAGGAGAGAGATCACTTGATCATTACCTGTTAGGTTCACTCCCTCTGGGGCACCTGGCATTGGCCACTGGTGGTAGACAGGATACTGGGCTAGATGGACCTTTGGTCTGACCCAGTACAGCCGTTCTTATGTTCTTATAAAAGCAGTTTAATTATGGTAACTTTTTCAAGGACATAATTGTTCTATTGATAAAGGGGGATGTTATTCCAAGCTGCTAGAGGGAAACCTGCAGTGTATGCAGCTGAAGTATTCAAATGTATAGTGACTGAACAACACCTTTGTGAGTGGAGTGGATTAGTCAGCTATAGAGGGGAGCCTGGAAAATCCACCCTTGCCAGCAATGTGACTAACTAGCTGGAGTTCCCACTTCAGGAAGAGTTTGCAGCTATCAATAACCAGGATTGGGTCAGAATCCATGAGAGAATTAACATGATGCTGCATTAGTTTACACATGTTGGCATGCCACAATAACGGCAAACCATACTAACATCTGCAACTTTACTGCACCCTGCACCTCAATCGTACTTTGGAGAATGGTTTTGTGACCCACAGGCTGCATGAACTACATCTAACTGAAATGGACTAGATTTGGAAATAGAATACTGTTTTCCAAACACACACATTCAGTTCACTGTTCACAGGGAGTCCCACAGACCCAGAAGGAATGATTACAGAGTGGCAAATTTCTTATTACTGAAAGGAAAACCTGAATGACCCTAGCAAACATCTGTGACTTTACAGTTAAAATCACCTTTCCAGCTGTTTATAAATGTTTGAAATTCCAAGTTGCCATTTTGAACTCAACGTAGTGGGTGGCAGGGTTAGGGGAGACACCACGCAGTTGTGGTACAATCCTCCATTAGTGGCCACACTCTGGTAGTGGGGGCTTATCATTTTTGCATTGCTTCTTACAGCAGACATCCCTCCCCTTACTGTAATAATAAACTGTAAATTTGAGTCTGACACTTACCAGGCTCTGAGGCAGCTTCTGTCTCCAATGGGGTTGTTGCAGCCTCAGCAGCAGGCTGTTCCTCAGGGATGGGATCATACAGCTTCTCCAAGTAGAGTCGGAGAATTCACCGTTGATCCTGATCCACAGCCTACTCTGGCACTGGCTTCCTTGAGAGTCACTTCATGGTCCTCACTGGGAGCCTGCTGCAGGCTCCCAACAATCCCCAGGCTGGATTCAGAGGCCAGTGGGGCATCATCTCGGTTGGTGCAATGTCCAGAACCTGGTAAAAGTTATCATCGAAT